AGAGCATGTTACACAGGACTTCATCCAGGCGGGGGTTGAAGATCTCCAGAGAAGGAGACTCCACAGCCCCCCTGGGCAGCCTGGGCCAGGGCTCGGGCACCCTCCAAGTCAAGAAATTCCTCCTCACATTCAACTGAAACCTCTTATGTCTCAGTTTGTGCCCATTGCCCCTTGTCCTGGCGCTGGACACCACTGAGAAGAGTCTGGCTCTGTCCTTGTGACCCCCACCCTTGAGATATTTGTACATGGTGATGAGATCCCCTCTCAGCCTTCTCTTCTCCAGGCTGAACAAGCCCAGCTCCCTCAGCCTCTCCTCGTAGGGGAGATGCTCCAGTCCCCCCATCATCCTTGTTGCTCTCCTCTGGACTCTTTCTAGGAGTTCCTCATCTTTCTTGAACCGGGGAGCCCAGAACTGGACCCAGTGCTCCAGGTGGGGTCTCCCCAGGGCAGAGCAGAGGGGGAGGAGAACCTCCCTCGCCCTGCTGGCCATGCTCCTCTTGATGGACCCCAGGATGCCATTGGCCTTCTTGGCAACAAGGGCACCCTGCTGGCTCATGGTCAGCTTGTCGTCTGCTCTTGGGTGTGCGTGCATGGAGAAGGGCACGAGGGATGCAGGGAAAAGATGGGTCAACACGGTTTAAAGCGGTTGTTTGGGCAGGAGAGTGTGCGAGCTCCTGCGGACTGCGGCGTGCAGAGCAGCCCCTGACCTGCTGCCCGGTGGGGACAGGGGTGGACAGACACCGTCCGCCTGCTGTGCACATCTGGCGGGGAGCTCGGGGGTGCCCCTCCATCCCTCCTGGGCATAGGCATGGCCTGAAGCAGAGCCAGGGGCCACCATTGCCCCAGCGGTTTTGTTTCCTTCCTGGTGATGTCTGGAGAAATACGTTCTCCTGGATGTGGCTGTCTCTTCCCCGTGCCGCTGGTGTGCTGGTGCTGGGCTTCTGGGGCAGGACAGACCTGCCCAGAGCCAGAGCTGACGTCTGAGCAATGCATCTTCATTTATGGTTGCTTTCTAGAGCTGGAACTCCCTAATCTTGGCCATGCCTTGCTCCTGAGCAGCACACAGCTTGGGGCAACCTCTGCAACGCCTCCGAGTCGCTTAGTGGGAGCAATTCCGATTTGGATGGATGCTTAGGAGGATGCCCGTCTGGTAGAGGAATTTCTTTATGGGTTGCACATGAAAGGAGACTTCTGGGACCATCACCTGCCAAGGCACGCCCAGCTCATCGGTTACCTGCACGCAGTCTTTTGCAGGGGACGATGTTGGGTGTCGCATCCGTGCAGTGGCTGTTATCTGGGCAGGTGGCTTTGTTGTCCCCACTAATTGCCTTCCATTAAGTGTAGAACTGAGAAAATATTCTCAAAAAGCTCGGAGAGCTCGGTTGGCAGATCTGCCACCTTCTGCTTGCAGGCATGCTCCCGAATGGCGTGCACGGGGGAAAAGCAAGGTGCAGCGTAGGGAGGGAGGCACACGCTGCAGAGCATGGCTGCGTGAAGGTCCCTCATAGAATCATAGAATCACCTAGGTTGGAAAAGACCTTTAAGATCATCCCTCGCCTGCATCCTGGCCTGCCTCCCATGAAAACACAGCCTGGGATGGTTGGAAACGAGCTTGCACGGCCAGCGCTGCGGGGAGGCAGCTCTGAGCCCAAACCTGCAGGTGCTGGAGGGGCTGGTGGAGGAGGTCCCCACGCCACCCCTGCAAAAAGGGGACTGTGCAGCTGCCTGGGGAGCGGGAAGGGCTGGGGGCGGGTGGGTGAAGCACAGCGTGGTCCCTGCAGCTGGAGGGGCTGGTTTGGAGGGGGCTGTACTGCCCCGGGGAGGATGCCAAGCTGGGCTGCATCTGGCTGGCTCCCCATGGGCACCCCGCCAACGCAGGCTCCCGGTGGGCCCT